GAATGACAAGGATTCCACAAAACGAAAACAGAAAAAGAAGGAATGAATAATGAAAACAGAAATAAATAAATAAATAAATAAATAAATAAAACAGAAATCGTTCTTCACAATGAAGATTGTTGTCATGGTTTCGTCTGAGGGCATATACTCACACTAGCACTTTCCTGGATGTATCTGGCCAGAACTACAACCCCCCCACGTATTGTATCTGACCGCAATTGTGGCCAGAGCTGAGTCGGGAAAAAAAGGTCCTACTGAGTATGACCTGAATATAGTCTTGTCGTCGTTCATGGAATAGAACTCTTGCATTTGCAGTAAGAAACAAGACAATTTTTTTTCTACATAAAGAAAAATCTATGATTAGCACTTAGTACCACTTACTCTTTTTTTTTTCTTTTTTTTAAATTTCATCTTTTGTTGCTTCAGTACGCTTAGCATTTCCTGATACTGCTATAGCTTTTACTTTTGTTCAAGTTGAAAAAAAAGAGGAAACTGTTTTACTTTTCATTTCCACTTGAGCTTATAGGTTTTGTGTAACATACACATCTTCACCGTCTCTTCGTCAGCGACCCGCCGATTCTCCGGTAAAGTCGAGCAAGGACTGGTTTCTCCTGCCGAGGTCCACAAAGTCCCGTTTTCCGCAGCTGGCAGCACGCTGTCTTTGCGAGCAATGGTAGCCTCGGTTGGCTCTCTGTCTTCGAGAGCCGGACAAAGTCGTTCGGCACTGGGATCTGCAAAGGAGTTTGGCCCGCCTTCTGCACCACCTCCTCCTCTTTCTTGCCCTGCTGCAATCTGATGCACATGCTCTCCCTGCAGACTTGTCAGACACAGACCAGTCTCACTCCGGGCTCTGTGTCCGAGAGCCCCGCACGGTCGTTCTGCACTGGGATCTGCACAGGAATCTGGCCTGCGTTCTTCAACACCTCCACCCCCTGTTTCTTCCCCTTCTGCAATCTGATGCACATGCTCTGCCTGCAGACTTGTCAGAAATAGACCCCTTCCCTGCTCGTACGCTGTAGCCGTTGAATCCTCTCGATGATGAATCACAGGCTCCGACGGCTGCCTGTCTTCGAATACTGCACAGGGTTCTTCTGTATTGTTATCAGGATCGAGACTACATTCTTTCGGTCCGCCCGTCTCTTGTCCTTGTCCTGCGGTCGTCGCATTCTCCTCCGGCGACTGCAGCCCGGTCAGAAACAATCTTCGCCCTCTCCAGTCGGCTTCTCCTCCCGTATCTGGGCTCGCCCGCCCATCCGTCGAATCAGGACTGATGAGGATGAGGTCATGGCGCTGGTCTTTTCTACCCCTCCATCTTGTGCCACTGCATTTGCCACCGGTCTCAGGGTCGCCGTCATCTGTCAAGTTAATAGCGTCATCAGCTGACCCGCCTGCGACGTCGTCCTCACGTTTCCTCTTCGGAGTGTCGGTCAACCGGATGACCGGTGGGGAGTCCTTTGACTTTGACGGGCCTGGCGAGCATGTCGTCGGTGTCAAGATCACTACTTGCTTGTCATCATCTAAATTTATACCCTTTGACTTTGACTGCCCTGGCGAGCCTTGTGTTGGGGTCACGATATCGACTACTTGCTTGTCATCGTCCCTTATCCTGTTCGGTGTATGCGCAATATCTTCAACATCCACTTCTCCCGCCATTTTTTCCCGCTCATCTGCAAGAAAGAGGAGTGGGGTGGGGGGGGGTAGCAAATATACGTACATATATATCATCAATATGTGTGTAACAGGTATGACAAACAATAATAATAAAGATGAAAAGCCATCGAGTCAAGCACATGGTCAGAACCTCGAATTCAAGAACAGACACAAACGAACATTGCGTCACATCTAGGTTGTAAACAGAATTTAATAAATTTGAAGTAGAAGAGAAAGAGAGAGAGAGAGAGAGAGAGAGAGTACAGAGATGCTAGCAAGAGAATAGAGAGAAAGCGAGTTGAGAGAGAGAAAGAGAGAGAGAGAACAGAGATGCTAGCAAAAGAATAGAGAGAAAGCAAAGAGTTTAGAGAGAGAGAGAGAAGAAAAAAAAGAAAGAGAGAGTAGAGAAACCCTAGCTAGAGAGTAGAGAGAGAGAGAGGGTCCTTGGTAAACAAGTAAATGCCGCAAAGCAGACGACAATAGCAACCTGCGCCAGCAAAGGCCGTGCAATTGACATACGACGACACAAGAAAGAGAGAGAGAGAGAGAGAGAGAGAGAGAGAGAGGGGGGGGGGGAGAGAGAGAGAGAGGGAAAGAGAGAGATGGTGGTTGACTCTGGTGCATATGTAGATTGAATACTTGTTGACACTCTGGAGCCCACATTTGCACAGCCTCATCCCTCGCACGATTCAGCGTCGATGCCCGAACATCCATTCCGGACCCTCACAGTCTGTCGTCACTAAGCTCACCTTTCACCAACCCAGCCTCTCTAACAAAGACCCCTGCAATTCTTCCTCCTAATGTAGCCCCACTCCTGCCATTCGCCCCCCCTCACTTCTCATTTTCCCTCCTTTACACCCTACTCTTTACTCCTGAGGTGCCCCCTCTCTCTACCTGATCCCCCAATCGAGGTCTAGGAGTCACCCCCTTCTCCGCCTCCCCCCCACTCCCCCCGCCCCCTTCCCCTCACGTTCCTTGACTACCCGCCTTTTCCCACCCTTGTTTCCCCCACCATCCGCCCATGTTTCCCCCCCTCCCGTCGCCTTCCGCCACACACTCCCGCCACCACCATTCCTCTCTCTCTCTCTCTCTCTCTCTCTCTCTCTCTCTCTCTCTCTCTCTCTCTCAGCCGTCCCCTGTGGTTCCTTGATTACCCGCCTTTTTAATACCCTCTGTCTTCCCCATGCATTCCGCAATCTTTTCCTCCTTCCCTCAACTCTACCCACACTGTTCCGCCACCATTCCGCACCTCTCTCTCTCTCTCTCTCTCTCTCTCTCTCTCTCTCTCTCTCTCTCTCTCTCTCTCTCTCTCTGTGTGAAGAATACGAGAATCATGAGAACGCCATAGGATGGATTTCACTGCTCCTGCAGAACAGCAGACTATCTCCATCACGGATTTCGTCGTTGACTTAGAGGATTTTCTTCGTCGTTGACTTTGAGGATTTTCCGCGGTTGTTGCTGAAGAAAGTCCGAGTCAACGACGAAGGGAGTCCTCCAAAGTCAACGACGAAATGCGTTCCGTTGACAATTGCGGAACGATGACGCAGTCATCGAAGTTAACGAATGCGAGAGACTGATACAAGACCGCCATCATCACACAGCTCACTGATTACCCCACGAAAGCAACGTACCCAGCAACGACAAGTGTTCATCCGTCCGTCCACTTGTCAACGAAATGCGTTCCGTTGACAAGTGCGGAAACGTTCATCTACTGACACGTGCATGCACAACTTTTTCCCAGCAGCAACGAACGACAAGTGTTCATCCGCCCGCCGTCCTTCGGACACGTGGACAATGTACACAGCAAATGACAAGTGTCACATCCAATTTTAGATCATCCTCTGGCACCATACAACTGTCCAAAGGAAGTGGCAGCTCACTGATTGTTCAGCGATTGATCGTTCGTCACAAGTATTCTTTTATTTATCAGATAATTATAATAAGTCCAAAACCCTCGATCTCCAATCATTTTGATAGTGATTGCTTCATCTACTCCTACACGTCAACAACAATGTCCGCGTACTTGGTCTATTCAGACACGGCATCGCACGTGTCATGGTCTATTGCGCGACACGTCATGCCACGCGTCATTCGTTATCCTTGCGACACGTGGCACGTGGACAACATGCGCAGCAACAATACGCAGCAACGTCATTCGGACACGTGGACAATATTCGCAACATTCGGACACGTGGACAACGTAACGTACCCAGCAAGCAGCAGCGACACGTGTCATCCGTCCATCCATCCATCGGGCACGTGAACAATTCAAACAAACAAAACAAAAAAAAAACAAAAAAAAAAAAAAACAGTGCGTCGACAAAGTAGTACGCGGCAAGCAGCAAGCAGGCACGAGTCAGGGCCTGGCCACACCGCACTCTCTAAATGTGAAAAAGACAAAAATGTGGCGGCGGGTGCATCTGGTCATGTTCTAGCGGGAAGTTCATTCTCATTTTGCATTTTTCGAGAGCGGTGTGGCGATGCCTTCATTCGGCCATCCTTAAGGACAAGTGGACAATGCACACGTGTCACACGTCCGACAATCTGCGCGCGTAATCACACGTGGACAATGTACACCTGTCACGCGTCGATTAGATGCACCGGCCACACGTGTACAAAATGTACACGTACACGTGTCATTCGCTCGACTAGGCCACGTGTTCCGACACGTGGACAATATACGAAGAAGAAGCAATCACATTCATTATATCCCTAGGAGGAGCGGGCAATGTACCAGCCGTTCGAATCACGTCCACATTCGTTACGCGGCAAGCGGCAAGGTCAACGAGTCACTCGGTCCATCCTCCTTAAAGACACGTGGACAATATACGCGGCCAGCAGTAAGGAGACAATCTGTCATCCTTAAGGACACGTGGACAATGTAAGAAAGAACACGTGTCATTCACGCGACACTGTACGAACGACCACGTGTTCGAAAGATTTGGACAATGTACAGAGGAACGACACGTGTCATCTGCTGGACAACGTACCCAGCAAGTAGCAACGACACCACATCTCATTCGTCAGTGCTTCGGACTCCGCACTTATATTATAAATAAATAATTAAAATAAATAAATTGCGCAGCAACGGGGACAAGTTTTCAAGACGTTGACGCCTTGCGCAGCAACGACAGGTGTCATTCGTTAAAAAAAAAAAAAAAAGCCACGACATGTGTCATTCGTAACAAAAAAAAAAAAAAAAAAAAAAAACTTCGACACGTGCCATTCGTTTATCTTTCGAACACGTGGACAACGTATGCAACCACGACACGTGCCATTCGGTCAAGCCGCTATGTATTACCCCCGCCCATCGCGCGTTTCCCCCTTCCCCCCGCGTCTCCCCGCCGAAGGGGGGGCATCATTTAGGGCCTCGCTCCACTACTCAGCACATGCACAAAACACAAAAATAAAAATAAAAATAAAAATGTGGGTGTATCTTCCCATGTTCTAGTGGAAGATGCATTCTCATTTTGCACATTCGGTGAGTAGCGGAGCGAGTCGCGCTTTATGCGGCAGCAGCTGCTCGAGTTGATCTTCACGTCATTCAAACAAAAAGCACCATTTAAAAACATTAATTAATAATCTAAATAAATAAATAATTTAATAAATGAATACATCTTGCAGGATTGTATGTTTTTTTTTTTTAACTTATTATCACAATATTACCGTAAAGTCTTTCGCTTTTTTTCCTTTTTCCCCCCCCTCGAATTTTTTTTTTCACCTTTTTTCCCTTGCTGATTTCTCTTTGCCCTAATTAATAAACGCATTGAATATAATTAAAATCCAATAAAATAAAATAAACGCATTGAGCATCAACCAATTCACGCGTTCTCGGCAGTCCCGACTCCCGACTCCCGACTCCCTGTCGCCAGAGTCCCGACTCCCGACTCCCGACTCCCTGTTGCCAGAGTCCCGACTCCCGACTCCCTGTTGCCAGAGTCCCGACTCCCGACTCCCTGTTGCCAGTGTCCCGACTCCCTGTTGCCAGAGTCCCGACTCCCGACTCCCTGTTGCCAGAGTCCCGACTCCCGACTCCCTGTTGCCAGAGTCCCGACTCCCGACTCCCTGTTGCCAGAGTCCCGACTCTACCTGTTGCCAGAGTCCCGACTCCCGACTCCCGACTACCTGTTGCCAGAGTCCCGACTCTACCTGTTGCCAGAGTCCCGACTCCCGACTCCCGACTACCTGTTGCCAGAGTCCCGACTGCCAAATACCGAATCAGCGGCGAAGGACAGGAAAGAGTACACATATGAGCATTACCCCACACACTTCGCCATTCGCCGCATGCATTGCATTCGGTTGAGGCGGAGAAGAAGAATGGGAGAGGGAGGAGGACAAGAAGAAAAAAGAGAAGTAGGAGGGAGGGACCCCGCGGATGCGGTAATTGGGCCTCTCTCGCTCCACTACTTCTCGAAATTTGCAAAATGAGAGTGAATCTTCCGCTAGAACATGGAACTATACACCCCCTTTTTTCTGTCTTTTGTCACGTGGAGAGTAGTGGAGCGAGAGGCCCATTTCCCCCCATCATCCTTCACCGCATGCATTCGGCTGAGAGACGGAGAAGAAGAATGAGAGAGGAGGAAGGAGAGAAAGAGAGAAGGTGGAGACAGGAGGTGGAGGAAGGAGAGAAAGAGAGAAGGAGGTGGAGGAAGGAGGTGGAGGAAGGAGGGGAGAGGAGGGGAGGACTACGGTAGGAGAAGAAAAAGGGGGGGTAGGAGGACGAGACAGACGCGGTGGAAGGAGGGAGAGGGAGGAGGAAGGAGAGAAAGAGAGGAGGTGGGAGGGAGGGAAGAACAACAACAAAACAAAGAGAGGAGGATTGTTTTCGGGAGGGGGAAGGGGGAGGAGAGATGTTGGTATAAAGGGTGAATAAGAACAGAGACGGAGGCGGAGATGGTGATGGTGGTGCTGGAACTGATGAAGAAGAAGAAGAAGAAGAAGACAGAGGGAAGGAAGGAGAGGTGGTGGTGATGATGATGATGATGATGATGATGGGAAATGGTGAAGAAGAAGAAGAAGAAGAAGAAGACAGAAATTGAGATTCAATAGCAGACTCTTTGAATGAAGGTATTCTTGGATAAATACTCTTTATTCTATTATTTATCCTCTGTTCTACTTCAACAAAATGACTTTTTTTTTTTTTTTTTGGGAAGAATAGTGACAAACAGTGGCCAACACTGCTTTCCTACCCAAGAGCCTAGCTCAGTGGGTACACCCATGAACTGTTGAAATACAGACACGTGTTCGAATCCAGATGATGGAACTTGACGAGTAAAACCAACTACTAATGAATTGCTTGGGGCCGGTCAGCTAAATGATAATATCTCAAGGCCGTCGTCCTTTTAAAAAAATAAATAAAAATAAATGCAAATTAAAAAAAAATAAAAAACACTGTTTTCCTCACATGCATCTCAAGCGTACTCTCCATTAGACCGTTGCATACACAAGTCTCAGATACATGCAAAGAAGAAGGAAAAAATGCAAACTGAATCTAAAAAATAAGAAAGAAAGAAAGAAAGAAAAGATAAGAAAAAGAAGAAGAATTGAAGAAGAAGAATAGTGATAGTGATAAACAGCGGCCAACAACTGCTTCTCATACATGCTTCACAGATGGTCATTACAACTTGAAGTTCGCACGTACTGCACTTCGTCTTCTTCTCGGACACTGCCCACATGAAGAAGAAGAAGAAGAAGAAGAAGAAGAAGAAGAAGAAGAAGAAGAAGAAGAAGAAGAAAAAGAAAGAGGTGGGGCAAGAAGAAGAAGAAGAAGAAAGAAGAGGTGGGGCAAGAAGACGAAGAGGGGAGGAAGGGGAGAAGGAGTAGTCAGGGAACAGGAAGACGAAGGAGGGGTCGGTCAAACAGTGCTCTTGGTACACTCTTCCGATGAACAAGGGAGGAAGAAGAGGAAGGAGAAAGAGAAGCGAAAGAAGGTAGAGAAGGACGGAGTGACGGAATTGAAGAGAAGAAAAAGAACAAGAGGACAAGGAAAAGGGAAGAAAGGGGGTTGGGAGGAGGACAGAGGAGGAGGAAGAAGAGAAGGAAGAAGACAATGGAGGAGAAGTGGTAGGGAGAATGAAGAACAAGAAGGAGAAAGAGAAAGCAGAATAAGGAAGAGGAGAAGAGAGTACTGGAATTGAAGAGAAGAAGAAGAAGAAGAAGAAGAAGAAGAAGAGAACAAGGAAAACGAAAAGGGGAGGAGGGGGGGGCGGGAGGAGGACAAAGGAGGAGGAGGAGGAGGAGGAGGAGGAGGAGGAGGAAAA